GACTGGTACGTAGTAGACGTTTAGTCTCTTCCTCCGGCAAGAACAATAACTCCCGGGCAAACTTGAACTTGTGGTCACAAGAAATACTTCATTCTGCTTGCCGTGGGAGATGCGCATCGTTACGCGAGGAAGGCGTGAACTCCTCGCACAGAATATGCTGTCGTAGACCCTATTCCTCAAGCTCAACCACAGCTATACCCGATACATGGTAGCATTGTATCCAGCTGCAGAAAAATCGAACAAAAACTGTTTTCTTGGTGGCGAAGCGGACCCTCGTTATTGTGACTCTTCAACTGATATGTGTGGATGGCGACATGGCGACCCAGGCAGACTAAATCTAGAGTTTGACGTCGGTCTTATCCGCCGCAGGAGGTGAAAGCTATACTCAAAGTCGGGGAGGGGTCGTTATTTGCAATTCTCTACGGAACCGTGCTTGAGGCGCCATGAGATTCGCACTGCCGTCGCCGAGGTTACTAGTCGGCAGGGAAACACAAGAAAACAAATCTTCGGCGGACCGGAATCTCTTTTTTTCCACTGGCCAACTGCTGTTGGTTGGATGGCGAGATAATTTCGGTCTTCTTGTCCGTCACAGGAGGCCGAGGCTGATGCTCAAACTCGGAGAGGGGTCATGGTTTTCGATTCTCTACCGAACCATACTCGCTCGGGGCACCACGTCATGGACATGACAAGAAAAACATCCCCCCAACGAAAACTGCTGAAATTCATGGATGGATATGTGAGTGGGGGACCCCTACACAATGAAAAACACCGTCGCCGCTCTGAACCGCTGGAAGCTGTCACACAGCACTGCATGTGCGGCGAACCGAAGGGGCCATGCGCATTGCTTGACGGAAAGAGGCGGCGCCCATCGCCTCTCATGCAGCAGTCGGGTAGACGATTAGCCTCCTACTCAGCAAGATGCATAACCATTACCGTTTACGTTGGATGTCATTGGGACCCTAACGGCGGGAAGGCAACAGAGAGAGTGATGTAGACTAAAGGACGAGAGACTCAAGAAGACAAGGCTTGAATGCTCGAGAAGACACTCACTCTCATCCCTCTGGCCCAACGGTGGCTTGAACACGTGTTACGAACGGCGACATCCGATGTGCGCTCAGCAACAACAAACACGACGAAAGAAAAATAGTCGTCGTTTCCGAACTGCCGTGGAGATACTGTAAGTTGGTGGAGACTTTCTTTCTTTTCTGGTATGAAGTAGCAACAAAGAAGAACACGAGTATCGGTGTAGACTAGAAGCACGACGGACGAACTATTATCTCGATGCGCTTACCGTCGCGATAGATGCGCACCGCTTTCGCTATACGAACAGCAGACTGTTGTCAAACGTGACTACGATAACCGTACGACCATTGCAGCACATTCCGACCATCACAGTAGCAACCGCAGCAGCAGCCGCATGTGTACGATGGTCACTCAAGAACAAACGCAAAAACAGAATAAAAAAAGATGTGGTGCGCAGCACGCAGGACCCTCTTACCCAAGGCGGTCTAGTTGGTATCCTCGAAACCTTCTGGAGGTCAAGTCAGGGGTTCGAATCCCGGCGTAAGCGAGCTTTTCTTGCAAAGTGAGTTTTCTCTCGCTTGCGCTTCTGGCCTAGTGAATAGCGCTAGTTCGTGTGTACACAGAGGGAAGAGAGCGCTGAACTCTTCTCGCCTTAAAACTCGAAGGCAAAGTACCGCAGGAGGGGAGGGTATAGAGGGGCTCCTCTGTGTGGCCACGGGTTGGAGTAAACGGCACTAGTGCTATGAGAGCTGATTTAAAGTGAACACAAAAAAAAAAAATGGCGAAACCGGCAAGGAACAGTCAAGGCCGACTCTTGCCGGCCACAGGAGGCTGAAGCTGCTCAAACTCGGGGACGGCTCATGATTTGCGATTCCACACCGAACAATACTCGAGGGGCCACGAGATTTGCACTGTTGCTCGAGATCAGCATTTTAGACCGGGTCGGGGGTGGGGCATGCGAATGAAACTTCCACGGATATTGAACGATGAGAATGAAGCTAAAGCTTCAATAAAGTATGTACGTTCGTTCGCCGTTGATCAGCGGGGTGATGAGATCATACCTGAAAACGTAGGGTTTCGCGATCTGCGGTGAATCTTGCTGCTGTTGTCGAGCCAGAGGAAGATGAGGGGAGGTGCAACGGGGTGGGGTGTGGCTGAAAATAAGCTGGTTGATAAAATGTGCGTTTCTTCATTCCTAGTAGAAATCTGTAACTACTGTCTGTACGGTGTATTTCATCTGTCTTCCGAAAAAAAACGTTTGGTGTTTATCCCTTGCCGGGGGGGTTATCCTCGGCGTCATCATGCTTGCACTTGAGTGTATCGGCATGCCATAGAGCCCTCGACAGACGGAGTGTCCGAGGCCACTGATCTGGACAAAAAGAAACGTTGTTCGATTGTTCCGCTGCACAATCAAAATATCATGTTATATATATATACTCACAAGATGGTCGTCGTGACGTGATACATTTCTTGTTATTAGTATGGGAAAAAAATAAAAAAAAATGGCTCGATTTTTTGTATTTCTACAGCAGTATGGACCAGACGCCGACTGTACATAGAAGTCGTTCGAGTGTCGACTTAGTTGTGCCGTCACAGCATCTCCCACGCACTTCTGCCAGTGCTGGTTTGTTGATTGGAGTCTTGTACGTCGAGATACAGCCGTGAGATTCTCGGGTTGTGGAGGCAAAAGTGAACCAGAGCAAAAAATTGCATGCATAGCTCGATTACTACTGTGTTTTTGCTACAGCAGTATGGACTAGACGCCGAACGACGTCCGCGTACTACGGCAACGACCTAACTGGATGGGATACTTCTTGTCACGGCGAACCATAGTACAATTCGATGCAAACTTCCGTTCGTGTGTCGTGCGGCTTCGACATGTGTCGACGACAGGTACACGTAGAGCTCTCGCCATGTTGTCGTTACCGCGCAGGAGGACCCCTCGGAGATCTTCCACATGGTGCTACAACCACAGCGAGCGGTCCTACTGTACATAGATGTCGTAGGAGGGTGGAGTTGTGCTGTACGGCATCTGCCACGCACTCTCCTACCGGTGCTTGCGTTGATTGGAGTCTTGTGGACCGAAATACAAGAGCGGGTTGGGTTCCCGGGTTGTGAAGCAAAACCTGCCTGCAGCAACAGAGAAGGCGACGTTCTATTTACTACGGTATCCCGCTCAACTTTTTTTTTTTGCGACATGTGGTTGCATATTTCTTTGTCACTGCCGAAAAAGACCGCTGGATCTTTACGCAGTCCATCTTTCGCATTTATCATTTTACACCGAACGACGCAGGACGAGTCGACCTTCATCATTGTTGTTGTTGTTGTGTCTTCACATTAAAAACCGTTCCGATCTCTCTCTACCCAGTACCTTCATATGTCGGTACTTACTTGTGGATTACCTGTTGGAAATTGTGGGAATCCCTTCATTCCGAGAGAGCCATAGGTCGGCATCCGGCCTTCCTTTCCTTTTGTATGCCCTTTTCTTCTTTTGAAGTTTTGACGTTGCGCTTTTTTTCCATCGTCGCTTAAGTATTTGTGTCTTCAAACCTTCTCACCGGCGGCCTTCAAACTTCTTGTTGATAAGTCTCCGTGGTAACTTCTCCGCGCATGAGTCATATGCGGTTATGACCTGCGCTTTGACTTTCACGATGGGTATTTTACCTCCTCCCCGTCTTGCATTGATTGGTGAGTACCTGCGTTATACGGAAGGATCGTTCCACGACGCAAACGTCGACGTCTCCTTTTTCTTTTTCTTTTCCTTCGCACTCCTTTGTTGCCGCGGGTTTCACACCGACTTCGAACTTCGCACGTGGGGTGCAATTTCCTCTCTTCGTACCTTCCTCGTCGGCCTCCTCCATCGTTATGTACACAATGTATCCCTCGATTTTTCGGCTTTTCGATTCTGATAGACAAGACTACGAACTGACATGTCCCTTTCACCCCCGACGGGACCGCGCGCTCGTCGAGTGCCGAAATTCTTCACCACTTCCTTGCCTCTCCCAACACCGTCCCTTCTTCCCGCCCCTACAAATCCTCTCCCCTTCTTCTTCTTCCCTTCCTCCCGGACACTCACCACGATTCGTCCAGGATGTTGGCCCCCGGCCCCATTGGGGGGCGGGGGGCCAATCCTTAACCCTAGTAAAATATACTTCGTATGCATATATCATGATATCATGGTATCATAGTGTACAAGGCCTCCAGGCTCGGGCGCCAGGCGCCCTCGCCTTCAGCTCAGCATTACGCCGAAAGGAAGGGAGGTGGGCGAAGGCTGTGCACAGCATACTAAGGGCAGGAAGCTGGAAAAGATGTTCACCTGTATGTGGTACTGTAGTGTAGAGGCTACAACAGCACCTTCAATACTACAGCAGCACCTTCAATCATGGTATCTATATACTCACAGGATGGTCGTCGTGACGTGATACATTATTTCTTGTTATTACATGGGAAAAAAAAAAGCTAAGTTTGTTGTCGAAGACGTAATAAACTGACGTTTGTTGCTGTAACGTAAGAGTTGGAACGCAATCATTGTCGGAAACCCGGGGCCACATACATGTAGAGCGCATTTCGCGTGCCCCCCAGACCTTTGGACACCAACGGAGAGAGCACACGTTTGCCGTAGTCGTCGATTGTTGTGCTCGTGAGCGCGAGAGAGGACCTTGGAGTACGTGAGCACGCCGAAGGATTGAGGCGCTGACCAACACAGACAAGTGGCCACAGGAAGTAGTGTCTTTTCTTCGAGCTGGAGGTGGGGCACCAAGCGGGGCATACGCGGGGTGGCAACAACAACAAAAGGCTTATTTGCCAGGTGGGTGTTGTTCCACTGAGCGCGTCGCCAACCGTTCCCTACTCCTGGTGTTGTCTTCAGATAGTGGTGCGCGTGGCAGCACTGGACTCCGCTGCGGGCAGCATACGCGGTCGCACTCAAAACGCGGGATCCCGCGCGGCGAACCGGGACCCCAGCGGCAGCGAGAAAACTACCTCGAAAAACAAAAACAAACAGTTTATTTTGTTTTCTTTCGAATTGCTTCATTATTTCTTCGGTTTCTAGGCTACGTGTTGGGGAGAGAGACGCACAAAACGCTCATCGTCTCTCCGGCCGCGTTAGCTGCGAAGGCCGGCGTCAACTGTTACAAATCCATCTCTCTCCCCATAAATACTAGCCGGGGGACTACGACTGCAACCGCAGGAGTCCCAAAACTAACCAAGTCCTCAAATGGTACACACCATTCTACAACACCCACATCGAGGTCAGTTTCTGGACGACTACCGAATAAGTCAACTATGCGTTGCCCATACGGTCCCCTCCCCCGACTGTCTCGATACTATCCTGCTGCCGTCTGTAGTTCCGTGACACTCGCCGCGAATCCTCTACGTTGTTTCGCGCATACGGCTTGTAGGCATTCGATCTCCACTTCCCTTCTCTCTGAATCACTCGTTCTGCGATGTCTCCGCCCGATGCAAGAGCCGTCGCGACTCCAATTCGCAACGAGTGCAACGCGTACTCCTGGGGGTTACGCCCCGACTTCGCTACCACTTCTCTTACTGCACGGAGGGTAGCACTATACTTCACTACTCTCACTGCTCTTCCACTACGGTACGGAGCCAACGGAGCGGAGTCAGGCAACGTCGCATGACACGACTATAGCTCCACCACAAGAGCCACCGCGCCGCCGCGTGCTCTCACACCTGACTGCGGTCCGGTGACTTCGTCTCGCGTACGAACCCGTATGTTGCCTTTCTGCTCTTGATCGGCCTTGTGCCCTCTAAACCTCATCTCAACACGGTCTGCTCTACGACAGTGACTAAAGTCTAGTTGCGTCCCGTCGGCAAACAATGATTTGTCCGCCCTCGTAAGACGGTGTGCCTCATGCACCCTGCCCGCGTCATTCGCGAACTCCTCATCAGACCGTGTGATGAAGAGATAGGACAGGCAAAGACACAACCACATCACCCTGCCCCCTTCCCCCCAGTTCTGCCTTGCGCTTTCCCCGTCCAGCGGCATGCGCCATAACACAGGCAGGCGCACACGGCGTACCGTCCCCATAGCCACGTGGTTCCTCGCCATCCCCCTTAGCGCACATTTCAACATCGGAGACGACAAGTCTAGCTCGACCGAAGCTTCCAGCCTACAAGTATGAAAATGTTGCACAGCCGTGAGTGTTCTGGATATTGTACTCGCTAGGTTACCCTTAGACTCGAAACACCAGGTTACGAAGTCTATCAACTCCCACACATGAAGGCCCCTGGCACGTTGCCCTAGAAACTTGGGCTTCTCCGTCAGCCTCCGAAACGTGCACCAAGAGGTGAAGCCTGACGTGCAAGTCCTTCTAGACGACTGAGTGCTCGACGAGCTGGATGCCAAGACGTCGGTAACAGAGTCCTGTCCTGCCTGTCCCAGGTCCTGAACCTGCTGATTGCCCTGGGCCAACCTCGTGTAGACAGGCATGCTGCCGTTCGATTTGGCCGCATGTGCGCTGCCAACCGAGGTAGCCCCCCCCCGCCACGCGGGAGAGCCCGCACTTCTATTTGTCTTTCCCGTGGGTGAAGAAATCAGCGGCTGTGGGCCTCGCGCCGCCGTCGCCAGCGGCGCGCGCCTCTCCTCCGCACCCTCCCCCGTTGCCGTGGCTAACGCTGCGACCACGGCCTTCGACCCGGAAGTTTGAGAGCGTGTCGAGCGATGCCGCCACTTTCTCTGTCACCAGGACGCCTTTGCGAGGCAAGGATTGCCACTTCGGCTCCGACAGTTTTGCAACTGCCGGAGGCCGTCCGAGGATGAGCCATGCCTTTACCCGGCGGAGGTCCCCCTGCATCCGCGCCCTATCCTTTGCCGCAGCCTTAGCAGCCTCGGCGCTGGGTACAGCGGCGACCCGAGAGGCCGGTGGCGGGGCGGTTGTGCCCACCAGTTGCACCCCCCTGAAGGCTAGGTCCTGCTGCTTGGGTGGCGATCAGGTCGTCGATCGATGGTTGAAGCTGCTGGCGATCGCCGGCAGCCTCGTCGCCCTCCCGCTGCAGCTCCTCCCTCAGGCCGTCCACCAGCCCGCGGAGAGGAGTGAGCTCATTCTCGTCAGCGGGGGGTCGCCGCGGGTGCCTATCCCTCGCGCTCGCGACGAGGACACCGCTCGACGCCTCGCGGGAGTACGTGACCCGCTGCGCGTCGAGGGGCGAGCCGTCGAGCTCGCCACCGATCGCGCGGAAGACCTCCTCGTGCGTGGTGTCGAGGGTGTCGCCGCCCGACCTCGCCCTGCTTGCACGGCCGCGGCCCTGCCGCTCCGCGTGGAGGCCCGTGTCGGCATCTGGTCGCGGTTGGAGTCGTATAAGCAGCGAACCGGCGGCAGGCGGCGGGCGAACGTCAGGGCGGCGTTGCGGGAACACTTGTTTTCTTCTTGATCGTGAGCGTGGTCGATCGCGCGCCTGGATCTGCAGTTAGAATGCTCTACAAGTTCTTATCTTCGGCGGAAATATCTGACGAGGCTCTGCGTCGGGCCCAGAACGACGCGTTGTTATATCGCGAGCTTGCGTTGGTTCGTTCTCGACGCCTGTAGATTGAGTGGAGTGATTGTTGCTGCTTACGCTACGGTCAATGGGGGTCCCGTATCTCGACAATCCGGAATATTTCCTCGACACGTGTTTTGGAGGTGTTGAGTAGAGGCGGGTATTAATGGCCACCTGAGTGTTAACGACCACCTCGCTTAAAAATGCATATCTTGCCAACAACATCGGGGAATGCCTTTGTGTTTTCTTGTTGTCATGAACCATGCCGATCGTTCAAGCACAAGTTTGTTCCGGCTGGACAAAAACTGAGCCCTCTACAGCGTTCGGCGCCAAAGTGGCGTACGATATCCCAGCCTTTCTCGAATGATTTTTTTTTCCAGCCGCTAAGGGCGTATGTTAACGAAGTGCCGAAGTCAAAATCGAAAGAAAATCGAATCAAAATCGAGATCTGATTGGTCGAATATCTGCTACCTCCTGACGACGCCCTTTGATTTTTAGAAGTTCCTCTGTCTGGGAAGAAGTCCCAGGGGACTTTTTCTATCAAAATCAACATCAAAGAGGCAAGGAGTTCAAGGAGTTTGCCGCGAGGCCGCTGCAAAGCAAGTGTACGACACGACCTGCTGCACACTGCTCATAGAGGGGCTATCGGCACCCTACCACCGAGGCCATGGCCATTATTTGTAGCCAGAAGGCTCTGCTCGTCGGCAAGCTATAAACGGGCCGGCTCTTTGGGTGCTCGAGGAGAAATGCCGATCGTGACAAGCGGTGAACGGACTGACGATCAGAACAGGGCTGCGCGGCTTTTCCGGGCTGTTCCGTGCGGGAGAGGGCAGTTGCAACCTTTTTTCTCCACACTCACGATACCCCATGGCATCTAACCTTGTACGAGACACATGGTGGGTAAAGCTACCTCCCGTCGCGTGGCATTGTTAATGCTGTTGCTTCCTCCTTATTTTTTCTATAAACAGCCAAACGAAAACCAGGGGATTCTTCGTTTTTGTCCCCGGGTAAGCATGTTTTTTTTTTTTATTCTAAACGCTCGCTAGTCCCATCATCATTGTTTGTGCCAAAGGCGAAGTTCTGGGAAGCAGTAGAACGAGCGCAATCACTAGCATTCAAGGTAGCCGTTAATACCCTCCGGGCCGTGTTTTCCCTCAATATTCCATCTTAAACTTGGGCAAACGGCTACCGCTGTACCTTGTCACTTATAACGATTTTCCTTCTTTTTATTTTTAGTTACGGGATAAATGGTAATGTTAGCTATCGTTCGATATTTAAATATCATCGTTACTCGTTATATTGCCACAGAACGATCTCTTGGCACAAGGGGTAGCTTAAGTGGCCTTTAACCCTTACGTGAGTACAGGCCGATTCAGCTCGGTCCTCAGCGCCGATCACTTTGCGTGCCGAAAGATCGCCGTTGTGCCTCGGCTAGGAGCAAACAACTACTACATAGAGACCAGCAGGGAGATACAGGCAGCCCACCCCAGAAGCGCGCTTATCAGCAATGCGCACAGGACTCACATAGCACAGCAATATTCACCCATGCCTCATCTTTCTGACGTGGGGCAGATATCCTTGCCAGATCCAATCTACTGCCTACCGATACTGCTGTAGTCTTAAGATTCAAACGCACAATAGCATCGGAGCGTACATACAGCCCATGAACATCTGCTCAACCCGGTGCCGCATCCGCGGGGGAGAGCAGAGAAAGCGCACACCGGAGCCGATGCTAACGAACTGCTGTACCGGGTCATCTCCGGCGCGTTGTCGCTTTTTCCCGGGCTGCACCACAAACCCCTTCCCCAGAAAGCGATCCCACATATCGCACCTCGCGCCTTGATCCCATTCCCCGTCGTGCTTGTCGGCGTCCATCTCGTCCACAGTATAAATCTCCGCCAGGCCGAGCACGTCGTCAACCTCCAACAGCAGTTCGCCTCCGACAGTACAGTCTTCCCAGGTTCTCAGCAGACCTCCTCGCGTTTCCGTTTCTCCCACATGTCTGACCTCCGCAGCTGACCGAAACATTCGCACGGTAGCAACAACTTGGCGGCTTTCAACATCCCAGAAAAGCTCGAGTAGACGACACACTGTCGGGGTGCCCCCGACTGCGCAGATGCAGACATCGTGAATGAAAACCTTTCTCCCACAGACGCTGCCCTTGATTCCATCGATTCCCATGAAGGGAGACGTCCTCGATAGCGTGCCGTTCATGTTTGTCTCCCTGACGTTGCCGACCTGCTTGGTCGGTACGCAGTTGACATGATCGCTGGTTAACGAGTTCATGGCGGCCTCCTCTCCGCGCAAAAGCTTTCCGGCAGGGTATGCTTCGGAGAGTGCCGTTTCGGAGGCTAGCTTCATGTCGCGATCTAGTAGCAGGTTGACAGGTACGTCATACACCACCGCTGACGTTTTGCCTTGCTGTGTTGACGGGACATCTCGCTCCAGAATCTGCAGGAGAGGAAGGTATTGCCGCATGCGGTTGCTAAAGTGCGCGGCGTCAACACCTTTCAACCCTCCTACGTCGAAACCGCACCCCTCGTCCTCCATCAGCAGTATGTCGAGCAGCCCTCCCAATGCCTTTTGCGAAATTTGGTGTGTATACTGCCAAACATAAATAAGCTGTTGTTCTTTCGTACTGAATGGGTAGAATGAAGATCCGGTCGCCTTCGTGTTGAATCTCAGGTTTTCTGGACCGCCCTCCAACGCCGAGCTCGTGGCATAAGAAGGCGCAAGGGTGTGAAGCTCGGCCAGGGAGGGGGTGCCCCCGCCTCCGCCACCACATGTGTCAGGTGCAGGGTTGACGTGCTGTGGGTGCTGGTCGTCAACGGTCGGATCTATGTCTATTCCGCCGCATTGATCTCCCTCTCCTCCATATTCGCCGTCGTCACCAGCACCACCCGACACAGCCCCCCCATCACACTCGGCGTGGTCAACGCTATTGAGGCTCGGTTCGTCATCCGGAAAGTTTTGGCCTATATTTAGTTGTGCATCAACACGATCCATCAGGGCCGAAAGTCCACCCGCGGCGACGCCAGGAGATCTCGCATCCGGAGACTGAACCGGCTCGTAGATACCATCCCCACCCGCTCCTTCTTCATACCCATCTCCCATGCCTAGTTCCATGTGGTCTAGGTCGTCGGCAGACGGCTCCATATCCAGTCCTAGTCGTTGTTGATCGTTGAAAGAAAAACGAATGCATACAACAAGGTGACCCATTTGAAATTTCAGACAAAAACGTACACTCGTGCCGAAGTTATTGTATTGTGAAGTTTGCAGGAATCTTACACGGCAGCCACCACACCACAGGATGTGGAGGACTCTCTGTCTTCGCATGGACGGACGTGGTGCCTTCGAAGTTACATGAAGCAGACCCCCGAGTGAGTCATATGGGGGGGCACCGGGAGAGGTGGAGAGATGGCACCCCCCCTCGACCGACGTTGAAGGATCATTTGCCCCCACATACAAAAGGGCGGGTGGAGAGAGCCCAGTGCGGGGTACACCGACGAAAAACCCGCGACGAGATGTTTCGAAAACGAACATTCTTGGTGTTGGCACAGCTTGGTTGGGGGGGAATCAAGCCTTCAATGTCACCCTAGGGGGGGTGCCACCTTCCCGCGTCTCACGGTAACCAGAAAAGACGTCTCAGAATGGAGGGCAGTTGCGGACAAGCGCATGTGCGATGGCATTGTTAAGAACCACCATGAGCACTAGACCACTAGTTGCGGCTGACTAGTGGTCTAGTGCTCATGGTGCTTCTTCCCAGGCATCGCCCAAAGTACAATTACCTAGCCAACCCGAGAGCGGGTGTGTGTCCGTATCTCTGTGGAGACGCTGGATTGAAACTTCGATACAAGTCGTGAGGGGGTCAACTGAGGGCTCCAGTGAGCGGCTGGAGTAGCAGCTCCGCGCGGAGACCCAATATCAGTGTGAGTGCATGGTGTGTTTTCGTGCTTCCAAACGAACCCACTTCCTTCGGTGTTTGATGTCGTGGTATGCATTTACAATCCTTAAGGCATAGGCGTATGCCACGAAATTTGGACAAAAGGATTATCATGAGATCCCTAAAGTAGGCTTCCACCTCGGAGCACTCTGCGAAGAAAGGTCGACCACGCATCGACACAGGGGTTGGGTGACAGAGTCCTGCTTCCGGAGAACAAGGCGAGAAGACGTAACACACAAAGTAGTACCTGCTTGACCTACAAGTCTATACGCTTGCAGCCGTACCCTACATTGGGGTCCTCTCTATCCGAATGAACAAATAAAATTGCCCAAACGCGTGGGGAGTCTTTCTCAGGTTGCTACAGCTGAATAGGGTTACGATTTTTGTCTCTCCTTGACTCCATCGAGTGTAGTCTGCTACAACACGGACGAATACTTCAACGCGGGTTTGCTACGCGACGCTGATGTACACTATTTTCTCAACGCCCAACACATATGGCATTGTTATCAGATTGTTACAGCAGCAGTACATCGAGGGTATACCGTACATGGAATACACCAACATACCTTGGTCGGCGGTCGAAGGTGCACCCCCACCGGGTGCAACTGGGGAAGACGCAGGGTCTACATTACTGGGCGCATTGGCATTGTCGATTGTAGTTGCGACACTGGCTCTATTGGACCCGAGCCCCCCCAACAGGCCGACGGGGTCCCTGCAACCAGCACAACGGCCGGCATCCGCCCTTCTCCTCCATCTGATGTTACATTTGCGGCGGCACCCTGATCCCGGGGCAACGAGCCCCCCTAGTGACCCTCCCCCCGCCCTCATGCTAGACAGCGGCGCTGCGTTGTGTGCCCCGTCTACTGTGTAGGCGCAAGCGAGGATGCCCCCCCACTACCCCCGGATAATCAAAATTTTCAGCGCTGGATAGGGGGGGCTTCGAGTATTCGAACTGTTTATGCTGCGGTGCCCCGTGTCACGCATTGTGGCATTTTGGCGCGCACATCTCGGTTTGACACCATCGGCGTATGCCTGCGTGACCTCTTGGTTGAAGCCAGCCGGCAACCAGAATTGGACGGGTAACCGCAATGGGTGGCTCTGAGGTGAGGTGTCAGATTGCCGAGTATTTCGATTGGGCGGTTAACCTGTTGAAGTCACGCGTCTGCGCTCTCCTCTCCTATTTTTTGATTTTTTCACGCTCATCGCACATCACCGTCACCATCACGCCCGCCCCACACTGTCACAACCCATCTACCCTCATCTGCTCCCCCTCTCCTGTGTACGGCAACCCAACCTATCCCCATCTGCTGCGATGCCTCTCCGCGCTGTCCACCGCACGACCTCCGTAACTCCACTCGGAGAGGTGAACCTCAACCACCACCAAACGCGCGGGAGGACTGCTTCGTCCAGGAAGCCATCCCAGAAGACGCCGGCCGCCAAGTCGAAGGGAAAGGGGCGGCCCAGGTCGGCGACCCGCAAGAAGAAGGTTCTACACACGACGTGTCCATCCACGGTAAGCATGTAGGTTCTTTGCTTGCCTTCTTTTGTGCTTCCTTCCAATCTAAACAACTTTCCCGAACAAAGCGTGTGTTGTTTAAATTCGACATGATTTACGTCTGTACGAGAACATGACCGTAACATGGCCGTACGCATCTCGATAACCGCCTACATGGGCGTGTCGATTTTTGACGTACAGGTTGCAGCGAGTACGGCAGCCAACAAACGGTAGTGGGCATGCGTTGCTAAATTGATATCCATGCGGTGGAGCCCATAGATCGTCCATACAGCAGCATTCCCAATACGCTAGAGGCACGTGGATACAACTATTTATGTACAAGTACGGAGTGTTTCCTTCCCGGCGTTCGCCCACGCCGGCCTCCGTTGAGGGTATGGCTGTCCGGATCCTTTGTAGAGGGCGAGAGTTACAAAGGGTGTGGGCGTTGTTGTGGGTGTGCCAAATGTGAGGTACTGTAGTTGTGTTATATATGGTGAGCCTACCCCTTTTCGGTCGAAGAGCCCCTGTTGTGAACATGGTGTGTCCCACAATACACGAACAATGGGTAAGGGGTCTAGCATATCTTGCTGTGGGCGCCATCCGCACGTTGATCGATATGTCGTTGACCCAGTAGAGAACTACAGGGGATGTATTGTAAAATGTAGGTTTACCTGTACAGATGTTTTTGTACTTAGCACCAGCTGGCATCACTGACATAAATCATCAGTGTATAGACTAAAAAAGACTCGAAATAATTTAAGTACCCAGCCGGTTTTCCTCCGCTCACTGAAAAGACTCCACCACATCCCGTTCGACTGTGGGTATATCTCGAACGGATAGTCTTTATGTGCGTGTATTTATTTCTCCTTAATCGATATAGATTTATGGCGGGGGGAGGGGGGGGGGGGGGCGTACTCATTTGTTGCTTGCCGTAGTCATTTGACCATTGACCACGCGTCCCTTTCTCCTCCCAGTGCTATTTTTTTAAAAGTCACGCGTACAAACGTCAGCACCTTGAGCAACATGTTACTTGCATGACCATACAATCATTTTCCTAGCCTACATCCCTTTGCAATTGGCAATGGAGGCCAGCAGCAGTCGAAGGTAGCCACACGAGTGTTGATTGGAGCAGCAAACATAGGGAGGGGTGCGGTGCTGCAATTACGTCCGCGCTTGCTTTAATGTAGCTAGGTCCCTCCAACCCCTGCTGATCGACTTCGCCGTCTATTGTTTCCAACGGGAGAACAGAAAGTTTCTTGCGTTCACGTGTGCAGTCCTTCCGTACGTCGCCACCACAAACTATAGCCGCGCTTGGTCATGTGTGCAGAAATGTAATGGGATGCTTGGTTCTGTTGTACGACGTCCGTCGAGTCGCAGCGAACGACAAAATAGTACCCTTCTCTTCCTCTCAGCGTAAGGGCAGCCACACCACCCACACCACACAAGCAGCGAACGTAAACACCCGGTAGTTTAGTAAAATTGGTGAACTGCGTGCGTACCGCCCCAGCATGCCACCCTCTGTTGGCGTTGCGCGATGGATAGGTTCTGGCGATCGCCATCAAAGCTGCTCTTATTTTTCCACTGTTGCTGCGCCGCTGCGCCGTGATCTGGAGGCAGCGGCGGTATCAGCAGCCAACGGCGCGGACATGTTGCCTCCATGCCCCACAAGCCTCTTCTACTCTTGTGTGTGCTCTGTGTACTGCTGAACCGGCCAGTGATATGTGTGCCTGCGGTACCCTTCTTCGAATATTTTGCCCCAAAACGATGACAACCGTATACAACTAAATGCAGCCAAACACCGACCTCGACCTATCAGGAAACCACCGCCTCTCCCGACTCTTGACTACCCTAACCCATGTTTTTTAAGTGGCAAATTAGAACGCAGCGAAGAAAAGTAGACCCGGACCTGTCAAGTTTCCCGTATCCTTCTCCGTACAAAGGCTTTCGAATATCCAAACCTACATGCGCCCTATCCTTTTCGCTCGCATCCGGTCATGACAGGCCACGTATGAAGAACCACCCCAGCCGGAGCCCGAAGAGGAGGAGCCCGAAGAAGAGGAACCCGACGAGGAGGAGCCCGACGAGGAGGAGCCCGACGAGGAGGAGCCCGACGAGGAGGAGGCCGAACACTCTGACTCATCGTACACCCTGGACCCGGACGAGATCGGCAGTGACGACGAGGAGAGCCAGAATCTTCTCCGGTCGTCCAACATCGCGCCCATGCGCACAACCCTTGACGTTCGCGTCCCGCGCTCGGCGATCGGCGGAGGAGGTATCCGCCGGTCCGATTTTGCTCGCCGCAATTCCACCGGTGGCCCTGGCCGCGGAGCCTCGTCCGCACGCGGCCGCCCATCATCCGTCGGCGGCCGCACTGGTCAACCCAGTCTTCTAGCCGGCCGCGGACACAGCAGGGCCTCGGGCGGTGGCGCATCCGGCAGGCCTGGCGCTGGTGCTTCGGACGGTCGCGGCCGCGCGTCATCCGTGGGCGGCGGCGGTCGTCAATCCGGTCTACTCGGCGGCCGCGGCTCTGGCAGTGCCTCTGGCGGTGGCCCCTTGGGGTGGCCTGGCGCTGGTTCTTCGGAAGGTGGCGGGTCTACCAGTGGTGTGTCATCGGATCAGAGCGCAGCAAGACACCAGGCTAAATCCAGACGTGTGTCGACTGGCATCAACGGCAACGAGAGTTCAGCTTCTGGTACATCACACAGTGGCGGTACCAGGTCCGGTGGTCCCACGGGCGGTGGTTCCACTTCGACCGGGGCGAGCACCACGACCTTCCGCGCCCTGGGTAAGCGCTCTGTTCAAGAGCGCCACCACAGGGAGGAGTGCCACGAAGACGGGCATTGGCGGGGTATCAACCATCAACATGGAGATGTCCGGACAAAACCTCTTCGACGCGCTTGACACTGCGCTGGTGCCCAAGGCGGCGAAGGCCGCGCTGTTGGGCCTTTTGCTGCAGCTCATCAGCCCCGACGTGGTGAGTGGTTTCTTTTATCATGAGATGAAGGGTAGTAAAACGTATTGCCTTTTTCTTGTTTTTTTTTCTTGTTCGAGTGGAAGTGGAGCATGCACGCGCTGGTGGACTGATCTTAGAATCACCACCCATTGGTATTTTTGTTTGTGTATCTGTGGGGAATGCTTGGACTTCGGCCGCGAGCCTAGTTGCAGTGGTCTTGGATGAGGTAACTGTTTTATCGTTGCGTAGCCTTGGCATCGGGTTGAGAGCAGGAGGCATGGGCTCTGCGTCTTTATTTCTGAGTGAGGTTCTTCCTGTTTTCTCTTCGTTTTTTTTTGCCGATTTCAACCCCCGATTTGTCATTTCGTCATTTTATCTCGCATTTGATGTTCTCTTCGCTGATTAATAGGTGTGTACGGCTTCTGGGGCTGGTTGCCCTGTGCCCACGGGAGGCGTCCGCGTTACTCGCACCAGTCCATATGATATTTTACGAAACCTTGCCACCCAAACTTCACGCGCAAACACTTGCTGCCTGTACGCGATGACCACATTTTCTATCGTCCATGTTCCTGTGTGTTCTCGCCCATGTACTACATAGTGTGCGCGTCGCCTTACTACATCAGGAGACATTCGCTTGCTGTCTTTGCTCGAACACAGGCCAACATGCTCGGCGGCGAGTCCTCCAAGAAGACAGTGGGCCCCGGCGAGAAGACTGCCCGCGGGGTCGCTGCGAACGTCATGAGTGTTTACGCCTATGGGTTCGTCGGCCCCGCCAGGATGCAATTTTCCGGCGGGGGGCCCACCAACGCTCTGACAAACCCTTTCCTCGCGTTGGGTTCTCACGCGTGGCCGGGAGCGAGGCAAAACCTGAACACCTTCCCCGGTGATCCTGGTTTCCGTAGTTGTTGGTGTACTACCCTGAGGTTCAGCAATCCTGTCGCTGCATGGTAACGCATTCTGGCGTTTGTTTGCAGACCGTTCAATATTTGCTCTTCACGTGCGCAACTCCACTGTCATACAACCCTAACCCAGCGGCGAAATCCCGACATTAATACTACAATATTAACTCTATTTACAGAGAAGGTCTTGCTCTCTCGGCCTCTCACAGAGCCACGTTTCCGTCTGTCCGCGATGTCCTGGAACTTTCCCGCGCTTTATGTGGTCGTGTCATTCCGCCCCTTCGTCTGTATGTACGTGTTGTCGCGCTTCGTCTGCCTTCACTGTTGAACGTTGTGAGGTAGACTCAAATGACCCATGTGCTGTTTCGTCCTCTCTGCATCCACTGCCCACAGCCATATTCGTGAAAGCAGTCGTCTCGGCCAGGTCGGGAACTACACGCAGAGATCCGCAACGCCATCGCCGAATTCCTCGTCCCTCTCATGGAAGAGGAAGCATCCACGAACAACCCGATGACCGGCGCGGACCTGTTCCGTGGCGTCCGCGAGCGGATAATGGACGTCGACCCCGAGTCAACGGTAAACGACTCAAAAACGAGCCTACCAAAATCTTCTGGTCGGCGCGCAACGCTCTCCTACGTCCCGTACACAACTAACCCCTTTTCCCTACTATTTGTGTGAACTCGGCCTTCCCAGGAACTGACTGGCCTGATGTCCCGCATCATGTGGCGCTTTACCAAGGCGCACCAAGCTTCCACCCGTAAGGCCCTCACCTTGGGGTACCTCTTGGGACCGGAGAGACTGAAGGAAGACTTCCTTGGACAGGTGACGAAATTGTTGCGTGCACTCTGTTGCGTGCACTCCTACTTGTCTGTAGACCTAGCGCCCGTTTATTTGTTAACGCGACGCAGGCTGCCAGCATGTGCCTGCAACCCGAACAGGTCATCGTATTCCAGGACTAGAGCCCACATTGTATGCCTCCGGTAGCGCGGGCGAGCGGTAGCAAGTTGAAGGACTTCTCATGGCATTTTTTCTGTGGGCTCTGGTTTCGTTTTTCCCCTCGTCCTCTTGATGACACCCTTCTTTTGTCTTCCCCCTCATCCTCTTGATGACCCTCAATTGCACATCAGGTTGTCACTCCCGCATTGCTGCAAGCAGCTAACGATATCGCGGCCCTTCCGGTCAACGAGATCGGAACCCACGAGACAATTGTCTGCAAGGTCACCCGGAAGTCGAGAGCCTGGATCAAGCTATCTGCTGGCGGCTTTGGTTCCGCCAACGCCTGGGCCTTCCAAGAGAGGTAAGCGATGATCCCAATGACCTGCATTCCCGGAGTTACAGTAGTGTCTGAGTAGGGTACGTTAGCGTCTCCCACAGAAAAGATAGACTAGAGTTAACCTCCGTTATGGTTGCGACAATAATGTTTTCTATCCGTACCATACGTGTTTTGGATGGCGGTATATTAGAAGAAACTGTTACTCTTCATGATGGCTGTTGATGACCATGTGTAGCACACATGTGAAGCGACAAACAACTGATCCGAATTGGTGCGCACCCCCCCTCTTCCCCACGACGGCCCGGCCCAGCCTATGGTACAACTTGTTCCAGTTCATGACTGGACCGTGACGCTGCACGGCGGCGATCCTTACCATCCCCAGCTCCGACTTCCACAAGCCGGAGATCATGCGCTTCCTCGCCCCCTACTACGTCGAGAAGGACAGCCTCGTTGTGCCGGAGACCCCGGCGGCAGACGTTTACGTCCAGGATGATGATCTTGAAGCATACCTCAACGACATGTTTTAATGTTTTGCGTGCGAGGGGCGGGGCCATGGCCGTGTTGATGGTATATGGCAGGTGCCCATGGAGAGTGCATCTCGAATAGCATCGGTGCATCCATCTTGTCATGAAACCTCCAATATTTGCGGGAGGTGTTGGCGTGGGCCGACTGTGAGCTACGAATCCGTGTTTCATAAAACCTTACCACTGGTACACGTTAAACGAGAAGTTGACAAGTCATGTTTTTGTGGCCGGGGGATTGGATGGATAATTACATTAGCGTGATGGGAGTGGTGCACGTGGGTACCTGTCGTCGCTGCATCGAGATTGCTATGGCTCGAGCCTCGCGTCTTGATATTTCCGGATCTCATGCATGGTCCATCGAAGGAAAAGTCTTCGGGGCGGTTGTTCCCGATGTTGTAGTTTCTCACAAAGTACCTCAATTTGTTTTTGGTTTTCAGTTTATTCCATCTCAAGAGAATATTCATCGTGGCAGTGTTCATTGGGTGTAATTTACTCAGAGTCCTTCGATTTTTTTTTGTTTTAATTTATTCCATCAAGAGAAAATTCATCGCGGTGGTAAGTTACTTAAGAGTCCTTCAACTTTTTTTTTTTTAATATATTCCATCGAGAGAAAATTCATCGTGGCAGTTTTTCTTGGGTGGTAAGTTACTCAAAGAGTCCTTCAACTTCTTTTGTTTTTAATTTTTTTCCATCGAGAGAACTTCATCGAGTTGGTTTATAATTGTTCCATCGAAAGAATAATTCTTCGTCGCAGTTTTATAGATTTTTATCTTTTTACGATGGAATCAGATAATTTGGGGGAGAAGGTTTGGCATTCATTGCCAGCTGGCTATGCTGGGCACATGGAGCGTGTTCGTTCGTGTTATGTCGAAGAAGCATTATATATTGCGTGCAGCGTTCGGCCTCTGTACGTGCAATCGGTGACGTCATCATGTACCCTGTAGGGGAGGTATATATAGGGTGCCTTGAGGTCCCCTCATAGTAGCAGTATCATGCGGTACGTTGTTTGTTGATGGAATTGACGCGCCGGAGTTGTACATGTATGTTACAAAGGGAGGGGGAAGCAAGGAAAGGCGCGGATCAGGGCGGGGGGCGGGGGGGTGTCAAACGGCGACATATATGGCGTGGATGAGCTTGAGCGTGTTTGTACGTCTAGGAGCACTACAGTACATGCTGCTGCAAGGGACAAGGGGAAAACTAAAAAAAAGACAAATGAAACAAAAAATACAAAGAGAAAATAACCAAACAAATATCGAAAGGAAAATATCCAAATGTTCGGCCCCGTCAGTACCACTTGGCTGACACGGTCTCCACAGTGTTTTCCCAGGGTGTGCACCCCGCCAGGGTCCCTGAGTGGCAGGGTACGTACAGGGTGTGGGATCAGTACCCTGGCAGGGTACCCACCCTGCCATTGTGTCAAGCCTGCAGCGTAGTCTTCCAGGGTGACCTTGACAGGGTGAAATCTCCCCGCCCCGGCAAGGTAGCCGAATGGCTAAAGGTGAAGCCAAAAGCAACGACGCAGTCCCTCCGATAGAGAGCGGTCTGATGGAGCTCACATCCTCGCAAGTTTCAGCAGGAGGGTGATCTAGCGAGCAAGAAATTGAAGACTTTGTCCATCAATGTGTGTGTTGGGATGATGCTGCGTCTGTTTGCGGGTCTGTTCTTTGCAAGTCTGAACAAGCGGTGCTGCGTGAGCTGGCCAACATTTCGCTTTGAGCGCACCTCGTCACACGGCAACCAAATATCAACGGCTGAGATGGCAGCACAGCTTCGAGGGTTGCTACGACCAACTTGCTGCGCAATCGATGTTAATTTCCGTGTGGTGTGCATTTCCAAACGCAATAAACAAACGCGCCATCGGATCAAAAATTGTCATCACTTCCGAACGCATGGCCGCTTGAAGCGAAGTCGAAAATCTTCAGCCGGAAATAAATGTGTAATTTCTAGTCCTGCAGTGTATAAGAAACGTTTTATTGTCCGATTTCATAAATTACGTTTTTTTCCCGAGAAAAACGATAAATTACGAAAAGCCTAAACCCCTGAAAACAAGGCGTGTCAGAGATCGGAACGTTTATCTTTTTATCTCAAGACAGCAACAACAGCGTGAAGAAAGGCGGTCACAGTGGGTGCCCCCAAGCGTGGCGAAGGGGCCAACAGCAAAAGCAAATGGTACAGACATTAGCACATTCATTCCCTTTGACTATTGCGTTTACTTGAACGGGTAGTCTTTCAGTGATTGAATGCATAACTGGTATGTAGCTTTCTAGGAACTGGCGAACCGGACAGCAGTATAGATAGATGAAATTATCTTCCGGTACGTTCAGCACTTCATGTTACGCAAATTCTCAACCGAATGAAGCCGCGCCACCGATGAGAAATGGAGAGGGCACCAGTAGCGTGCATAGCAGAGCAGAGGGGTATACATGTGCGTCGTTCACATGTTGCGTCTCACGCACTTTTTGTCCCCCCCCGCCCTGTATCGTAGTAGGTGGAGACGGCCATGAGCGGGCTCGGTACCGTCATGTTCTCGAAGGTTCTAGGGCCATCCAAGCAAGGCATTTCCCGGGTCGGAGGGCGAGACCATGCAGAGCGTGAGCTTCGACCAGGTCGACTGATGCAAGCGCAGCGCCATATATTTCAGGTACGGTCGGGTTATTGAGTGAACTCCCTGCGGTAAATGCGAGATATATTTCAGAAGTGGTGCCCTGTGGTTTGAAAAACAAAGTGTATGATGGTAAGTTCATGTCGCAACCCCCCTACACCTCTGTCCACCGGGAACAGATAACGGTCTGCTACTGCACCTGCTGTCAGAGTCGTGCATAACAATGCTGATCACTCCGGCAAAGGTCCACTCACGTTTTCAGTACATCCGCTCCTATTTGAATGTGAACGGAAGGAACGACGAATTCCTTCTTTCGAACGCTGTTCATTCGTTCAGTCATGAGCAGAATGGGAAGGAACGAGGGACGTGCAGGCAACCATCCTCGCGATTCATTGCTTGTGGAAGGGGTAGAGACTTTTTGACGCACACGTACCACTACTTGTGTTGGTTTGAGGGGCTCGCATGCTGTAGTGTTAGCCTGTCGTGCAGGATAGAGGTGCAGCGCACTGTGAGCGATAGTGGGCATTTACCCAACATGTCATGGTGCCACGCAACAGGACCGGGGACAATGAGTGTTTGTCCTTCCAATCTTCGGGCCGCTTCCGTCCCCCCTCACGGCATGGATTGATCCCTTTCGAAGATACTCGAGAAGTGATTCCTCGCGGATGTCGTCAAGACGAGGATGGGCACTCCAGGGCACACTTCGCCAACAAGAGTCACCCCGACCATGACGGTATACCGTACCTTCCCGATGTGCCACCCTTTATTCGAAAAGGCGTTGCTGGGAAGTATGGCGGCGGCGACCAAACGTTGGACGTCATCCGGGACATGTACGTTGCCTTTGTGTCGATATGTGATCTACTGTAAGCTCTGTAAGGCTGGCCCTTCGTTGCATTTAGTTTATTCGTCTAACCCTATCTCCCGTGGCATACTGTCAACCGTTTGTCAGGCTGATAAGCGCTCATTGGGCGTGCGAGCTGAAAGTTCAACACTCTCAATTGTTTTGTTCCTGTCGTGTTTCCAGCCTTTTCATTGGTTTTACCGCAGTTTCAGTGCGCCATGGCGTTGCTTCGAGTCAACGCGAAGGTGGTTTGGCGCAAGCTATTAACGAGATCAACCCCTCGGCGTCAGACAAGCTGACATTCAAATGAAACGCTCTTTGTTCTTTGTTTCGTGTCTCAGGTTCTAGGAGAGCTTCATGCAGTTCGGCTAAAATACGCATGGGCGATCCCCTCCGCAGAGAGTATTGATCAGCAGGACGACGCTAAGCGCTACCTCAAGCCGTGCTTCTTGGAGGACGAGGACCTGGAGGTGGCGAAGGTGACCCCGGGGTGGATAAAGATGGGGGCGGAGGGGAAGCTAAGGATGGAGACGGGGATGGCTCTTCATCCCCAAGCCAGATAAGCGATGGTCCTGACGACGACGCTGGCCCGAAAGCCTCGGCGCACGCCTAACCCGTGTTGACAAGGTGTGTTGTGTGTCTTCCAATAATCGTGCCTCTCTTCCTCATTCTCTGCCTGAAACGGTGTTGGATGCTTGCGTTTTTCTTGTCGTGCACTCGTTATGCCCGCGGTTCCCTTGGATATACTCTTCTCCATCCGAGCGTGTCCGTTAGCCACTCCTGATGTTTAAATTTAGGGGGATTGACAAAATGGGGTAGACCCCGCGTGTTCAGGCACAAAATGGGGGATCCTTTTTTTCGGTGTGGGGCGCAACGCCTGACGCCGGGTAGCCGCCTTCTAATGCTTCAACCCAATGCACCACGTCCTCAGGAAGGACGCCCAGCTTTTCGTTTTTTTCACCGTCAGGAACACGGTTAACTACGGCCTGGGAAGAGGGGAGCTTGTTGGAGGACCCCATTTTGTCCACGAAACCGTGGGGTACACCCCCCTGTCTGCTAAAAGTTTATCTAGTACGCCATTCTGTTCACAAACATATCCCTTAGTGTTCAAGGCATATCCTTTTTCGTTCAGTGGTGACACTCCTGCGGACTGCCAAAATGTCAACCAACAACCAACCGCAGACCGCACCATATCTCTGTACTTTCTGTCTCCTTGCCGCGCCGCAGACGACAACAAAGCCCGCGTGTTGCACCGCAGACCACCATACCCCAACCACGCCTATATGTATGGTAGTATGCTGTTGGTTGTTGGTTGACATTTTGGCAGTCCGCAGGAGTGTCACCACTGAACGAAAAGGGATATGCCTTGAACACTATGGGATATGTTTGTGAACAGAATGGCGTACTAGATAAACTTTTAGCAGACAGGGGGGTGTACCCCACGGTTTCGTGGACAAAATGGGGTCCTCCAACAAGCTCCCCTCTTCCCAGGCCGTAGTTAACCCTGTTCCTGACGGTGAAAAAAAACAAAAAGCTGGGCGTCCTTCCTGACGACGTGGT